TCTATTCTGGGCGCGCATTCGGCAAGATAACCTGGTGAACAACCAGAAATTCCACTCTAATGATAGAGCGAATAATGCAATCGACCCTCGGCCGCTTGTTTTTCGCTGTGTTATCATGCGAGCATTGATATTATTGAGAAAGTTTCGAGCTCAAGTAAAATTTAGTATTAGGGTGTGTGTGTGTGTGTGTGTGTGTGTGTGTGTGTGTGTGTGTGTGTGTGTGTGTGTGTGTGTGTGACTGGATGAATGTATTTCCAAAATTTGTCTAAACAAATCAATTTTTTTCTAGCGGTATGTATAAGTTCTAGCATAAAGGAAATTTCGTCCTTATCCTAGTGCAGTTGTGCATAATAGGTGATATTTTCCGGCTCACGAACTGGGGCGAAATGTTTCTAGAGACTAGAAAGCCCTCTACCTTCTCCCTCCTCCTTTTCTTCTTCGACGTCTCTTTTCCTTCCCTTTCCCACTCTCTCCTTCCTCCCACCCCTTCTTCCTTCTCTCCCTCTACATTTATTTAGTTTCCCCTCGTTTCTACCGAGGCGCGTGCGGTCGACCGGCCGGCTGCACGGTCCTCGCTCTCTCTCTCTCTCACAGGTGATAAGCCTACATCCGCCTGCGTTATCTCCCCTCGACAAACATTGCTTGGGCCTATAACCCTCCTCTCCCCCTCCCCTTCACCCTCTCCTCTCCCCCTCCCCTTCACCCTCTCCTCTACCCCCTCCCCTTCACCCTCTCCTCTCCCCCTCCCCTTCACCCTCTCCTCTACCCCCTCCCCTTCACCCTCTCCTCTCCCCCCTCCCCTTCACCCTCTCCTCTCCCCCTCCCCTTCACCCACTCCTCTCCTCCCCTCTCCTCTCCTCTCCTCTCCTCTCCGCTGCTCCCTTAATATATTTGAAAAGAAATCGTATACCATGGCAAGTTCGTACATACATAGAGAGAGGAAGAAAGCCCAAAGAATTTTAAATGGAATTAGAGAGAGAGAGAGAGAGAGAGAGAGAGAGAGAGAGAGAGAGAGAGAGAGAGAGAGAGAGAGAGAGAGAGAGAGAGAGAGAGAGAGAGAGAAAGGCAGAGATCTGTTGACTGATATGACCTAGGCTATATAAAACCGTTTCTGATTTGATTACGGACGAGAGGCACCGCTCCCGGGCGCCAGCGGCATTCGAGGGCGTGCAGATGAGACTGATAAGCTAAGGACAGTATTGGGAAAGGCACAGTGAGGAAATGAATGAGTTAGAAATGCAGTTATGCGAAAAGGGAAATCTTACTCTGTTTTCCAAAAGCGATTCTCTTTGTTAGATTTATTCATTTAACTGTTCAACTTTCTTATATTTTTTTCTTTATTTCCATTTTATTCAGTACATTTTCCTTTTTTTTCTTTATCTTATTGATTCTTTATTGTTAATCCTCTTTCCCTCGTACTCCTCTCTTCTTCTATTTCTCATCCTCCTCTCCCTCCTCTGTTTCCTCCTTCCTTGTACACCCTGTTCTTCTTCCTCCTCTTCCTTTTTGGCCTTCCTGCCACCCGCTTCCCTCTCATCCTCTCCCTCCTCTTCTTCCTCTCCCTCTTCTTCCTCCTCTCCCTCTCCTCTCCATCCTCCTCTCCCTCTTCCTTTTCCTCCTCTCTCTCCCTCTTCCTTTTCCTCCTCTCTCTCTTCCTCTTCTTCTTTCTCTTTCTCCACCTCTCCCTCTTCCTCCTCCTCCTCCTCCTCCTCTTCCTCTTCCTCTTCCTCCTCCTCCTCCTCCTCCTCCTCCTCTCCCTCTTCCTCCTCCTCTCCCTCTTCCTCCTCCTCTCCCTCTTCCTCCTCCTCTCCCTCTTCCTCCTCCTCTCCCTCTTCCTCCTCCTCTCCCTCTTCCTCCTCCTCCTCCTCCTCTTCGTCTCCCCCCTCTTCCTCCTCCTCCTCTTCCTCTTCCTCCTCGGAAAAAAGTAGCCAATATCCGGCGAAGTGTGTCAGCATGAGATAACCGCTTTAACCCCCCCACTCCATCTGCCACCCCCCCCCCCCCGTGACCACAACCCCTCTCCTCTCTTCTTCTGTTCTCATTCTTCACCGACTCTCCTCCTCATCTCGCCCATTCCTATTCCTATTCCTATTCCTGCTTTTTTTTCTTCCTTCCCTTCATCCTCTCACTCTCCTCCTCCTCCAAACCCTCCCCCCCCCCTTCTGGAAGGCCTACAAGAACTTCCTCTTTTATCGGCTCGTGAGTGGAAAGACGCGACTGTGTTGAAGATAAGGACCTCCACCCTCTCCCCTCCCCTCCCATACCCTCACCCCCACACTAATCTCTCCCTCACCCCCCCCCCTGCCCCCACTCCGCCACGATAAGGATTTTATCATTGGGTTCAATTGTTGGGGGAATGGAGTGGTCGCGGGCCAGTCAGTGTGATACGGCGTGTGCAAGTGCGGTGTCATGCTTTTTTATCGCCCTTCTCCTCTCTGCTGTTGACGAGTGGTGACCTGGAGTCTTCTCCGGGGCGGATGATGAGCTCGCGTCGAAGGTGGGGATGTGTGGTGACGGCTGTGGTGGGGTCGCTTAGCGTGGGTTGTGATTGTGTGGTGACGGGTGGTGGGGAGTGTGGTTGAGTTGTGACTCGTGGGTAGGGAGGCGTCAGGGGCATGTGTGCACATTGGGATTCGGGTTAAAAAAAATAGATAAATAAATAAATGTAATTGAATAAAAAAAAAACGCTTTTGTGGATGTTATGTGATACCCGAATGTGGTATATCGTGATGTGGCCACAGCATTTGTAGGATTCAAAATAAAGCAGAATGATTGTAATGTGATAACATATGATGTGATAATGGTGATAATAATGATAATAGTGATAGTAATAATAAGAGTAAAATTATAAAATATTAATAATCGTAATGATAATATTAATGGCAATAATTATATAGAAAATGGTGATAAAACACTCGACATGAAAATTAAAAAGAGGAGAGAGACAGACGGACAGACTGACAGACGGACAGACTAATAGACAGGCAGACACACGGACTGACAGGCGGCCAGACATTAATCCAGCCAAAATAAAATCATGATCTATGCAATCTTTTTAAATGGTTAAGCAGAACTAACTGATCCGGGCTGACACGTGACAGCGTACCTATGACAAGTCGCGCAGATAATGAGGACGCTTGATATGAAGTCAATACTGATAGAGACATTTTCGACACAAAACTAATATAATGGTACTGCCTCGCTAATGGGGTGTCAGGAGGGAGGTTGTGTTGTGGTGCGTCCATCTCCTGGTTTGGTTCTTGTTTTGTTTTGTGCTTTTAAGAGATTAAAGAGCGTAACTGCTATTAGTGATGCTC